CGAATGGGTTGGGCGATTTTTTGCCCACCCCTAAATGTGTTATTATGAAGGGTCATGAGCTCCAAGAAAGCCTGGAAGGCCAAACAATGTGCTTGGAGGATTTAACGGGCTCGACCGAGGAGAGTTATGCTAAATTAGCCAGGTATTGCCATAACATGGGAACAACTAATCCTGACTCGGCCTTTTTTATTAAGCCAGAGGGTGAAAATTGTTTTAAATTTTTCTTCATGACTCTTGGACAATGCATTCGAGTAGCCATGTTAACGAGCCGAGCAGAGCCAAGCCGAAACTCAAAGCTTGGGCTCAGCTTGATCAAAATAGGTCCGAGCTTTTTTGTGCCCGAACCGAGCCGAGTAAAAACTTTGCCAAAAAATGAGGCTCGGCCCAAACTTTTGGCTCGAGCCTTAGCGACCGACCCAACCCGACTTTAAATCTAAATTTTTCTTAAAAAATTTAAAATTTGTACAATTTATACGTACTATAAATTAAATAAAAGTTAAAAACCTCCTCCTTTATTCGAACTTAGAACCAACTACAATCATTGGTGTGTGATGTCGCAGGCACCCAAAAATAAGATCTTAACCTCTAAAAAAAGTATAGTAATGGAAGCAATGGCCAATCCCACGAAGAGTATATAATTCAATATTTTATACTTCGTACAATGATTGAGAATTTTTTTGTATGGAAACAATTGTAAATAATGCAATTAATAACAACGAAAATTAAATTAACGAAAACAATCAAGAGACTAACATTGGTCCAGTCAATATCCACCATCGAAATTTTACAATTAATCATCCATGCAAGTATAAATCAACTCATATTTTGAATATTTACTGTTGGAATTAATTTCTATTTCTCCTTAATTTTAGTTAATTAGAAATCAGTGTTCTAATTAACCCTAATTATTAAATAACCCCGGACCAACGCTCAAAATTCAATTTAATAACAACTTTACACAATAGAAAAATCGGTGAATTAGATAACACAAACACCAGCGGTTGAATTCAATTTATTTAAACACTCTTCCTAAGATTTAACAATCACTTGAGTAGCAAATTATCAAACCCTAGTTGCATCACAAGTTAAAGAAATCAACCAATTACGTATTTGATATTTAACTTAGCACTAGATTGTAATAGATAACAAACTAATAGGCTTCCTAACAATTAAACATAACAATCGTGAAAATAAGTGCAAAAGAATATTCGATACTCAAAAATATGAATTAAACTAAGAAAAACCATTTAGATATCACAATATGTGATTACGAGGCTTCAATCTCTTTCGACCAAGTGTAAAAGTTTAGTTATAATTCATGAATCTATGAGCAAAATAATGAAGAATGAAATTTGGAGGCGTTCTGTACGTTCCTCCTTTGTTCTAGGATTTTAAAATATGTATTTATAGTTGTTTCCATAGGTAGTTGACTTAAATTCGAAAACTAGAATTTTTGTGTCGGGAATGAACTTTGTGGTCACATAGAACATTGAAAATGGATCTAAAATTCATTAAAACACCATTTGCGACCGCATGGAATTTAAGCTATGCGGTCGCATGGCTTTAAATAATTTCTACCGGAAAACTTTCAGTATTTTGACCATATCTTTCTCTATCGATATTCGATTGAAGCGATTCAAGATGCGTTGAAAAGATAACTCAAAGGATTACAACTTTTCTTCAGATATCATCTTCAATTTTATTGTTTGTCATGTAAAAAATGAGTCTCAATATGAGACTGAAAATCGGTGCATAACTCTTTCGATTGAAAATTGATGTGTAATCATATTTTGACGATATTTCATTCATTTGACGTCTTCTTTCAATCAATTGACTCCTAACACTCTCAAATCTTCATCATGAGATTCCACATAACTTTTAAGGATTTGCATTTCAATCCCCAAACTTCGTTTTTGTTTCATTTTGGTACTTGTTTGCTTATTTCTTCCAAATTATACCATGTAAATGGAATTGCCACTTAAATCAAACTATGAACGTAATGAGTACATTTTGGAATTGATTAATCATACGAATACATAAATAAGAAGAAAAAATATGCATTTTATATTCATATCAATCATCGTAGGCGGTGTTAAAATTTTACATGAATAAAGTATTTCATGTACAATTTTTCTTGAAAATAAATTTAAAAATTACGTAGTTTTTGAAACTAATCAATTTAAAAACTTATAATATTTTATCCTTGAATTTGCCGCAACTCTTTGAGCATTATATTCTCAACTTGTTCTTGAAAACATAATTCCGCACATTTCTAGTCCTTCAAACGTATTAAAGTCTCAAATATATCTTTCTTTAGTCTTGATCGTTCGTCACATAAAACTCGCCACCCTAAATTAAATGCAGCCTCCGATGCTACTGTAGATACCGACGGTGTTAGTAGATCGTAAGCAATTTTACACATAAAACTCGACCACCTAAACTAAATGTAGCCTCCAATGCTACCGTAGACACTGGAGATTTTAGTAGATCGCAAGCAATTTGGATACAATAAGATAGTCTTTCTTTACACATTCACCATGATAAAAGCCTAAATTCCTATAATTTTTATGATTGTAACATACTTAAGGATGACAAAAAAGCTCACCGGCTCGTGCTTCGATTCCAAGGAACCGAGGCTCAAGCCGACCCGTACGAGTCGAGCCCGTTAATAATTTAAAAAAATCGAAACAACAAGAAAAAAATGTTGTAGCTGTCTGCTAACTGTAGCTAAAATAGAAATAACTGCCTGCAAGTGACTGTAAAAGATAGATTACAATAACTTGTGGTAGCTACAACATTTTTTTCTTGTTTTGATTTTTTTAATGATTAACGGGTTCGACTCGTACAGGCCGATCCGAGTCAAGTCTACGCTAAAAAAAAATTGGGCTCGGCCAGAGTCTCGGCTCAGTGGAATAGAGGCACGAGCTAACCCAACTTCGGCTTTTTCCGGGCAGAACCCGAACCGTCCAAGCCGGTGAGTTTTTTTTGTTATCCCTACATTCGGAGATTTCAAAATGCGATGCGACTCCTAATTTTAGTAGATGATACAACTCTGAAAGCTATATACGAAGGCAAGTTAATTATATACAAAGGCAAGCGTGAATGATCTGTCGATGCGTTGATTCTTCACAAAGCCGAGGGAAGTAATTGGGAAAGTCGAGGACTTTGCATTTGTAGCTGATGGGAGACCGTCTATAATAAATGGTTTCACTTGTAACTGATCGGGGACCATATACAAGACAACCTGAAGATTAAGTATCGAGGCAAAGACATCATTTCATTGTTCAGGAGAACAATTGAAGCTCATAGTGTTGAAGATTGTAGTAAGTTCATGATAGAAATAGGAAGTAAATCATTACAAGCATGAGAATATCTGATAAAAATAGGGATTGAACACTAGGTACGATCATATTTTCTAGGATGCCAATACAACATGATGACGTCAAACAATGCGGAGTCTTTCAATGCATTATTTAAAAAGGATTGAGAATTACCCATTCTCGCAATGATTGAAAACATTCGTAATAAGTTGTAGCAGTGGTTTCACGACCGACGTGCGGAATCACAAAGTTGCACGAGCGTGCTATCCTCCGTTCAAGAGAATAAACTCTTCAAAGCTGTAGAGTTTGCGAGAAAGTTGAATGTCAAACCACGAATAAGTTGCTCTTTTCCATAAAATGTGTACGTAATATGGCATACATGATGAACTTGACTGATAATACACACACTTGCCGTCAATTTCAATTAGAGGGTTTTTCGTATGAGCATGCAGTCGCGGTGACTATGTATAAAGACTTTGTAGCGAGAACATTATGCTCACCTTATTACACTGCTGATTATTGGAGAGTATCTTATACTGAGACTATATTTCCTCTACCTAATAAAGTCGAGTGGGAAGTTCTCGACCATATTCTTGTACTTAGTAGTTTGTTGCCACTGCAAGTTGAATCGCGTGGTCTTGGATGTCCACGTATGTCCAGAATACCAATTACCAGAGAGTTTCCTCAACCGCATAGGTGCAGCAGGTGTGGAGCAACAAGTCATACTCGACAATTTTGTACAAGTGAGATTCCCTTAATTGACAATTAGACCGATTCGTAAAGGTATCGCTGTGAAATGAAGGGCCAAATTGTACAAAATTATAGTTGAGGGACCTAGAGCGCAAATATTTAATAATTGAATAAATAATTAAATATAGGATGTTTACATTAATTTACAATATTTATAAGTATCTGATAAATGAATAAATAATTAAATATATAATATTTACATGAGTTTTACAATATTTACAATTATTTCTTAAATAAATATACAATGTTTACAGATCACATTCGAATTCATACAAATCGCACGCTAATTTATTCCTTTAAATTTGTATTCACGATTGGTTGATTCCATCAACTTTATGTCCCATGTTAAAAAATTTAATGTATTTTATTACAAACATGCAACAATCGCCCCTAAAATTGAATAATAACAGTTAGTTCGATACCGTGTAGCTAAAAACTAAGTTTCTAAGTTAACACAATTATAAATACTTACGATCTAGATGGTCTCGACGTCGTTGTGTCTCGCACGATAGCTAGTCTATTCTTCACAATCACACCGGCTCGAGCCGCCATCTCCCATCAAGGGAACAATAACTGAAAGTGGCTCCAAGTTATGCTTAAGTTGGCCTTGTGATAGAAATGAATGGTCGAAAGCGTACATATATATAGTGGAGTCAGCAAAGACAATCTCCACGACAATGCAGTGACGATTCATGGTCACTGGAATGTATATATGCGTACAACCCTCCTATGACTTTCCCCCAACACTTGGCCACATTTCTACGACCCACTCGACCATATATTCAGGTAGCACGTACTTAGTACCCATAAGTTGAAGCAACTAATATTCAATGGTAACTACACGTAGAAACTCAGTGCTTAATATGAGTCGATCAGGAATGTTGAATGATCTTGGATATCTTCGAGCTCGATCACGCAATAAATCCATGGCTAGGTTGAGTGCTATATCAGGAAATATCAATTAAAAAAAAAGAGGGAATTATTTCATTTCATAAACAAAAAAATCAAGTATACATAATAAATAACAATATGACTATTTCACTTACATCGTGGCGAGCCAAGTCCCCAGAGTGGTGATTCGTGAAACCACTTATAGGCCTCCGAGATCGTCCTCCCCCTACCGTGCTGCTATCTCTGAAAAAGAAACAGAAAAAATGTTAAAAGAAGTATAAATGAGTTAGCGTAGCAGCGTACATCACTGAAATTGTAAAATACTTACCTGAGCATAATTCTTCTCCACTCCGTCTCGAACACTTTCCTTTTGACATGGTCCACCTCCCGGAAGAGTTTGGAGTACATCCCGTCGACGAACGTCTTCCTCTTCGCCTAAGCCGTGAAGGGAAATACAACGTACAGTGATAGCAATCTCAGCCTCTTATCGACCACCTGCTCCGATACATCAACATCATACCTTTTACCCTTTATCACGATCGACGTCATCTCCTCATTCGTCATCGACCCCTCCTCCACCTTATCCAACGCCTCGGCCACCCCCTCGACAACCCCCTCCGCCGCCTCGGCCACCCCCTTCGACTCCGCCCCCCCTCAGCCTCCGCCACAGACTCCACCTCCATCATCCGAGCTACCTCCGCCTCCTCCCCAAATTCAGTATCTGATCGCAAGGGAGAGTCACCTCGTCTATCACCCTCACCGTCGTCATGTCCATCACCCCTTCGTAGTTCTCTTATATCGCCTCGGAGCGCTACGACCTCCACCTCAAGGTTTGATACATGGTTGCGGAGCACTACAACATCTTGACGTAAACTAGATATCTCGCCGTTCATCTCTCGTCGCAACGCCCCTACCTCCCCTCGTAGCACACCTATCTCCTCCCTCATCTCCGCCATAAATCCAGCCAGAAGGACATACAGATCACTGTGCGCAGGAGATCCACGGGGAACGTGCCTGGAAGGAGAAGAATGAGATCTCATCGGCAGCGGAGGTGATTCGGTCGAGGGTGGAGGTGATCGTTGATCAACTGGACCACGCTCCTATACAAATAACATTAAAAATTATAACTTAGTTAAAATAGACTAACTCATATAAAACAATAATTAATAACTTATATTCAATTCTCATACCCTATCTTGGTCCTCGATAGAATCAGACATCTGATCTCGTGGAGTATGCGGAACGACTAATTCACGCACAAGACCACGACTCTCCTCCTCCATCGAAGGCGTCAACTCCATTAGGACCTCGAGCTGACTTATTGACATTTCAACTAGTTAATGATCATGTGATGAAATTCTGAAATGACATATAATATAAATCTACAATGTCTAATACTCACCTGAGGGTCGTCGATGAGTGCTGATAATTGTTTGCCAGACGGACATCCGTCTGCTCGGGATGCTCGCCAATGATCCATCCGAGGGCACTGTGTCTCCCCTCGCCTAGCAAATCGAGTACCCAAGTGGGGGACAGTCTCATATGCCCAAATCTGCAACACATACACTTATTATATATAAATTTAGCACAATTTTTTTTAACATTGATTATGTTAAACATTTACCTGCACTGCCAAGGGCAATCCATATGTATCGTACTTACGCATGGACCCCTTGGGCTTCGAGTGTGATCTAGTGAAGACGTGTATGGTGTCCTCAAAACATCTCCGTCCCCATGGATAGTTGTTGAATGCATCGATATCGTCCACAATTTGCAAATGGAAAATGTCGACGGCAGTCTTCTTGTGATGACACCTCATCACACTTTCAAGGATGTAGACCAGTCCAAGCTTCAATCTATCTAACATCTGGTTGCACTCTCTGATCGCACCCATCAATTGGGGTAGAAGCAATGTCCCCTGTCCCTGGAAGTACGTCTCGTATAGCCTGTTGCTTCTCTTGGTGACTGCCTCGTCGCCTGTAATCCTTAGTCCAGTGATCAGGGCGAACTCAAACATCGAGAAACTAACAACCTTGCCCCCGAGGTTGAATTGGAGGGCATCACCATCGACTGGCCTAAGGAGCCGACATAGTAGTGCATCGATGATCTTTCCTGAGAATTGCACATCTCGCAACTGGTACAAGGGCCATAGGAAAGATTGCCGCAACATATCTCCATGATGATTATCGAGCAGCTTCAACACAGAAGTAAAACTTTCAAAGCTACTGTTCCAAGTAGCTTTCCCCGCCATCCGTCTCAACTCTGCATTTAAATGATACTCCATCCTACAAAAATTCAAATGTTAGAACATTGAACAGGAAATAATAAAATAACACATAATTTCAAAAAATCAAGTGAAGCGAATTATAACTACCATACGCAAGACACCGTCGCTAATGAAAAAGTAAATGATGTAATAAATTAAAGGAAAAACACGAAAAATAAATTAAATACAAATTAAAAATAATTAAATAAATTAAATACAAATTAATGACAAAAAAATGATAAATGAATTAAAGAATTTTTTTTTTTAAAAAGCAAGAACATAAAAAGGTATTTCTACTCAACCATCTACCCTTTACCATTCAAGAAAAATCAAAACCATAATCACAACAAAAAATAACCTTGTTAAGATCGCCTTTCCGGTGAATGGTTGTGATGGTTGGGTTGTCGGCTGTGACAGGGGTTGTGGTCGACTGGATCTCGACTGAGATTTATTTTCCTTTTTTTTTTTCCTTTTTTCGGTCGGCTGTGTGAGGAAATGAGAGGGTATATTTGGGTTTTGCTCTTAAATTTTCAATTTCTTTTTTTTTTTAACTGGTCAAAGGCCAAAGTGAAAAAAAAAATCGGGTCAACCGGCCATTTCCACTTATTTCCTCATTAAA